GGCACTCAGATGGAAATAAGTATATGATGGCATGGTTCAGCCTAAGAGGCATATGAAATATACGCAGCTTAGGGAGCAGGATCCTGGAAGACATGTGTGCATGTGCATGCCAGGTGGATATGGTAGGTTACTTCTGCTCAATGGACATATGAAATATGCACGGCTTGGGAAGTAGGCTTTGAGGTTGAATGAACAAGTGCGAACCAGGTGGCGATGAGTAAGGCTAGAATGCTGTAAATGTCGGATGCTGTAAATGATGCAATAGAAAAGTTCTGAATACTGTCCTGTGAAGAGTGTCCTGCAAACAAATGTGGTTGTAGTCCAATCCTCACGAGCAATGTAGAAAGAAACTCTGTAAAGATACGACGATTAAGGGGTGTTCATTCCGGAAGCAGAAGCAGTGGTTCGGTTGCAAGGGGGAACATCTTACGTCGCACAGATAAAAAATGCTGCAGCATTGTAACTGGACAAAAAAGGTGCCTGTTGGAAAAAGACGCAAGTCAAAACCTTTCCTGAACTGATCTGTTTTAGACGCCTTGATATGAATAGTTATGTGGGCTGCATGATGTGGTATACTGATATCAGCCAGGCATAAATTGTATATCTACACTTATGGGCAAACGAGGTTGGGTTTCAGTTCCTTGGATACGTAGAATTCCCCAGAGTACGTAATTAAGGCGAAGAAGTGACTGACCTTGTAGTGTAAGCAGTGGATTAGGGTAGCCACCGAATATGTTGTAATTCCGTATGCCTGATAGATATACCTTAATAGTGGTGTATTTAAGATGCAAGTTCATAGCGCAGTGCGTCACAAAGTATATTAGGATGTCTTCTGAGACTGCCCTGGGATTTCTGACAACGCTGTGAAACGTAACCATGTACGTACTCCTGTTGAATATGATCCAATTGTACGTGCACTGAGAGCCGCTCTTTGGAAGCTGACCAGGGCTTGGTTTAGCTGAACATTACTACGGAGGGAATCAGGCACGTAAGTGGAGTCTCTTCCCGGAAACGTTGTATCTAGAAACGAGTCAGAGAATCGGCAAATGTGTTAAGCTTTACAGGGATATGTTAAGCTTGAAACATGAAACTGTGGGATGCTGCCATGATTACTAGTCGTCACATTAGCTTCATAATGACAGGTGACTTAGAGCAGCCTTTATTGATAATGTGAACGGTCGCCATGTTGTCGCAATTGAACATACTGTGCTTGCGCCCCCATAAATGACCCCATAACACTGATGCTACTACGGTTGGGTAAAGTTCTTGAAATGCGATGGACAGTGCTGGATCAGAGCCAAGGGTAAGTCCGTGCTGCAAGCGTTCGTTAAACCAATGACTGCAGAAATAGCCGTCATGCTCTATGCCGCTGGCATCTGTGAATAGCTGCATATCTGATGCTAGGGTTATTTTAGCCTCAAGAAACATTGACACACCATTCCAATTATACAGGAGTTGGTGCCACATCAGCAGGTCTTGTTTACTTTCTGGCGATTATGTCACATGGCAGTTTAAACTCTTCACTCCCTTGGAAATTTCAATTAAGCAAGAATTAAATGTCCGGCCTAGAATGACCTCCCTGCATGCGAAATTCAGGTGTCCCAGGAAGCTTAGTAATTTTTGCTTTGTGCAAGATTTACGGGCAAGGAATGAAGCAACCAAATTAAGCATCCTATTAAGTTTATCCTCTGGTAGGCGTGCCTCCATAGCAAGAGTATCAAGTTAAATTCCCAGATATTCCAAACACATGGTTGGACCCACTGTTTTATGTGGTGCGATAGGGATATTTAAGCGACGGAACAGTAGAGCCATTGTTCAATCAGCAAAGATTCAAAGATCATCGGACTAGAGTGTGACCCGAATACCAGGCGAAAAAAGAAGTAAAATTGACTATCCCACTGGATACCATACAAATGCCATAAAGAAGGATGGATTGGGATTAGCTTAAAGGCATCAGTGATGTCGGTTTTGCACAACCATGCGCCCTTACCAATGGTCTGAATGGCTAAAATTGCATCATCAATGTTCACGTATGAAAGTGAAAACTGTTCCTTGTTGTTAGTTCATTTATACTGGAGTATCTGTGCTATCATGGGGTGATGATAAGTCCACGACGTTTCTGCCAAACCAATTGGGCTACAACGATAATTGGCAAAAGGTGGTGAAGAAAAGAAGCCAATCAAATATCCTTTTTTGACTTCTGATGCAATTTTTTTTTCTGTAGCAACTTCTGGTTGTTTGCGAGCAGATAGCAAATTACGGCAAATTAAGGTAGATAAAGGTGGGTTTTTAATCCCAGGTTTCGAAGCCTTCATGTAAGCCTGAAATAAGGTAGTTCACAAATGCTGAGTCTGTATGGATAGATAACTGCTGACTAAGAATATCAATGTTAATTGTAGTGGGGGCTTTCGTATGAAGGCTTTGCTTTGCAGTCCCTTAAGTGCATTTCCCTTGACTCAAATTATGGTCAGAAGAATAGCAATTATGGAACAAATGAGAAAAGGCACAATTGCTATTTTTGCAGCCGAAAGATGCATTAAAGTTAAAGCAAATGTCCTTTCCTTGGTAGAAAACACGTTTTCGGCGAGATCTGTCATGGGATGCTGAGGCTGATGTATTACCAGGGGTATATAAATTAGGCTTCCTGGTGGTTGAGGCAAGCTGAGATCACACTTAGGTTGCATGAGCGACACTACTGCAAGTATTTGCATAGAGCCCAGAGAATATAGAACAGTATAGCGTTGTATCCCGACGAGACTTTAATGTTGTGATTAAGAAGTAATGCTGCAGCTCTGGCAGAAAAAAACACGATGATACCCGTAAAAAGCCAGTCCGTTGTAACGTTTTGACATGTCCACTATGTCACGTTCATATGCATCTAATTCCCATCGTCGCTCTGGGTAGACATCGGACATAACATTTTTGTATACCGAAAATGCCAGAATGAATTCCTGAATGGTAAGCAAACGAGATATCCTATTATCTTGCAAGAGTTTTAAAGTAAATGCCTCATCGCCAACGACTATGTGGCGTTGACCGTCGGTATGACTGCAGCCTGGTACTAAGAGATATACTAGATTTATGTCCTTACCTGTGATAATGTGTGGCAAATTTTTAGAAGGAGTCCCACGCGATTGCAGCAAGTTGTTCTCAAAAGTAGCACAAGCGTTGATAGCCTGGGAGCCGCCATCGTGAATGTGTTCAACGGAGTTGACGTCATGGTGTGACGTCATGGCTTGATTGTTGACCTCTGACCTCTGGGCGTTTTGCAGTTGAACCATGTAGGTCAGGTTGGCGATCGATGATTGTAACTCCTTAAACATAGCCTTTGTAACAAATCAGTCTTGACCCTGGGTTGGCGAATTCATCGCACGTGAAATGCTTGTAGTTGGTACTTGGACGTCCTCAACTTGCTGTGGAATCAACGCGTCCCGTAGCGATATCGTAGTTTCTGAAATGCCCACATTCCTTGTTTCGGCAGCGAGTTGATCCACATAATTACGAGTTGCTGCTCTAGTCATTGGTCTAGTGTAAGGCTGGACACGGGGCTGAGTAGATTTTTTTGCACGTCCACGCCCAGCTGATATTGTAAATTAATTAAGTAGTGTTCTCGAACAAAGAATGAAATGAGCGTAATTGACGATAATGTACTGTGCACTGTAGTGTAACAAAAAAACTGAATGAATGAGAACTAACACTGGAGACAAAAGAAATTTATGTGACGCTAAGTGTCATGTGCAAGTGAGAACTGAATTAAGCACTTAATTAAACAGGGTTGCAAAGACTAACTAAGGGGTAATACGCAAATCCTCCTAGCAGTGAGCTAAGTGTCTTTACAAAATATATCTGTGACAACACAGATCTCCCCTCAATCAATTTAATGTTTTTAAACTATAATTTAAATCAAACGGGTAGACATCCTCAGAATAAGTCAAAATTTAGTGGCTCTGTACTTCACCTGAAGAAGCTGTCAACTCCCACAGTTTATTAAAAAATGTGTATTAAATCTATAAGAAGAATACATATTAACTCACTAAAATTCAAAAACGTATGAATGTTGATTCTTTTAACATACACATTTCTGAAAAATACACACACAGACCTTTCCAATGTTAACACAGACTTAGAGGTCATACTTTTGCTCGTATCATGATTTATGTCAGGTATTAAAGATATTATTACGTCACAATTTGTTATTTGTATTGTTAGTGTTCATGACGGGAGGAGTAATATGTGTACGAACATGTATTGTAAACATTTGATTGCTAAAAAAACACAGTTGTGAGCTATTTATCAGTATAATGCAAGAGGACATACACGGATTATTTAAAGATGAATGATACTATGACCATAGACGGCGACGCGAATTTTTTTGCATGAAGGGGTGAGATCTGAAATCTGACACAAAGGGTTTCAGCTTGATTGGGAAGGGGGCGTCGCTTTCAACATTTTCTCGGGTGGGCGACCGCTGATGACGACAATAACATTGAGTTTAGAGCAGCTGAGCCCATATCGTAGATAGTGAGGCAAACGAACGGTTACCAGCAATAAATAAGATTATAATTTTAGTACGAAAATACAAGAAACACAGACATTGACCATCTGATTTATGGGTTTATATGTATATTCGTAATCGGTTTCTAGCTGATATAGTCCTTATTTTCAAACGCGTTACGCGGCATATTACACTAGTACAGAAGGTGTACATAACAATATCTTTAACATGTCCGTCCCTCGATATTTCATTATAATGTGTAAAGTAGCCACTAAAGTAATTACACCTGAACTCACCTATATAGTTGACTAAATGTCAGACTTGCACTTGCTCTACTTTACAGGTAAAGATTTCTATGTCCACTGTATTTAATTTCTCTCTCGAGTCACATAGGGCACGTCACAAGCGAAAGGTTAAATTCCTGAAGTGTGACGTCCTGCAGATTTCTACGAAGTGATGACTATGAAGTGAAGACTAATAGGTAGTTGGCTCTTTCACTTTCATGCCGAGTTTCACATAAGGCGTTGTTCTGAGCGCATACTATTCACGCTGACCACCTTGCAGAGCGATCACGAAGCAGCAATCAAAAACGTTGTCTGGTTATTTAGGTGAGTAAAAATGTGAATAGTAATTTGTTCAACTTTTCAGTTCATTTATGTCTTCTATGACATCCAGCCAATGGTTACTGCTTTAGTAAACATACGCTGATTTTAAAATATACAATGTGAATACTGAAAACATCAAGCGTAAAACCAGGACTATGTAAGGTTATTTCTATTTTGAACACTTATGCATGTGTCGCTCCAGAAAAGGCAAGAATTGCTGTGTCTTCGTGCACTTTTATAAAAATTACTCAGCAATGAACTAGCTGATTCTATTCATATTTAGGAATCAACAACTTAGATGGTAAGTTGCTATGGGTAGAATTTTATCACATCTAGATCCAAATATGTATTGTTTATGGATACAAAAATTAGACCATGGTTTCATAAATCATATTGCATGGACCAAATAGTTTGTTTACATGCTTTGTCTGAATTCAGTCAAACTTTTACATGGTATTTTACATTGTGCGTTAATATTCAACGTTTGTTTCATAGTTTGTGATGAATATTCGTTGTTTATTTTACAGTACATTATTTTACAGAATTTAATTGATCTAAATGAGATTGGTTAGGAGCTCGCTTTGATAGTTATCTCACAGGGACTATGGTGTGATTCATTTCGGCTCGGGTTAGGCCAAATAAATCATCTCATAATACAATTTAAATAATTACAGTGAAACTATGTTTACTAATACTATCTAGTGGTTTGATTGGCCTTCTTATGTGTGTTTGTCAAATTGGTTCCCTTATATAATAAGTATATAATGTAAGCTTGTAAAAGTAATGGTGAATGGGTCTCAGCTATTTCTGGCTTGCATTTTTTAAAGCTTGTGTTAAAATCATTTCCGTTCAGCTTCATTTCAAATTGGTGGTATTACCTGCCTTGCGGGGAAAGTAACGTCACCAATGACAAACGTGAGGTACGATGGGTCGTGAAATATCTTTCAGACCATGATTTAAGAGTTTTGTAATCAAACAATTGAAGACCTGTACTCTGACCTGCTTTTTGATGCTGCCACACGGGACATAACTTATTGTGGTGGAAATTTCCATTACACGTGTACAATAGGGGGCCTCTATGGACAATTTATACAAGGTGCTTACATCACGGTTGAAATAAGGGTCGAAATAATAATCTAAACATGAGGGTTTCTCTAACGAGCCAAATCACGCCATATAACATTAATATATGTTTTATATAATTGCACTTCCAACCTGAGCCAATGCCATAATCTATCCAATCAGCAAG